ACAGTTATATGGGGGATATACGATATCGTGGACCTATATAGAAAATTCTTTTTGAGGGGGTAAAATGCCCACAAAGGACTCCTTTTGTGGAATTTCAGACAATTCCATTGAAAAATGTGGATAAAATCATCAAAATACCAAATATCGGGGGTACCGTAATATAGGGGCCTATACGATATCGTGGGCCTATATAGATAATTCTCTGCCGAGGTATAAAGTACCCACAAGGAACTCCTTGTGTGGATTTTCAGACAATTCCGTTGAAAAAAGTGGGTAAATTCATCAAAATACCGAATATCGGGGGGTACCGTTATATGAGGGATATACGATATCGTGGACCTGTATAGACAATTCTCTCTCAGGGGGTAAAACACTCACAAGAAACTACTTGTGTGGATTTTAAGACAATTCCATTGAAAAAAATGGGGGATATACGATATCGTGGACCTATATAGACAATTATTTTTGAGGGGGTAAAATGCCCACAAAGGACTCCTTTTGTGGAATTTCAGACAATTCCATTGAAAAATGTGGCTAACATCATCAAAATACCGAATATCGGGGGTACCGTTATGTGGGGGCTATACGATATCGTGGACCGATATAGCCCATCTTCGAACTTGACCTGCCTGCAGACAAAAGAGAGATCTGTGCAAAATTTTAGCTTCCTATCTTAATTCGTTTAGACTGTAGCGTGATTACAACAGACGGACAGACGGACGGACAGGGCTAAATCGTCTTAGAATTTTACGCTGATCAAGAATATATATACTTTGTTGGGTCTAAAATGATTATTTCGATGAGTTACAAACGGAATGACGAACTTAATATACCCTCCATACTTTTTTGGTGGAGGGTATAAAAACCGTCGCTATTTTGACTTCACACCATTTGTCTTATTAAAATGATCTGCACATACTTTCAATATGGTTGGAAAATAGATGTTTTTCATGATCCTTTCATGGCAAAATTAAGAAAGTAAATTCGTTTCAAAAAAGACTATCCGTCTCTGTATTTTGTGTACTTTGATTTGTCAAATTTCACTGAATAAAAAACAGGTTCCCATCTCTGATTTATGTGATACAATGAATTTATGAAATATGAATAACTTTTTAAAAAAATTTTAACATATGATCGCATTTTTACATATTTGAAAATTCTCAGGATTTATTATGATCCACGTTACAAAAAACAGCAAACCACAATGTCTTGATTGAGTTTTGTATTTCTTATTTTGTTTGACATATGTTGTAATTGTAAAGCGAATTCAAATTATGTTGACAGTGAATGAAGGTATTAGGTATTGGTCTTACTTGTCGACCTTATAATTGATCCATCGTGACAACTGAATTTGAATATTTTCTCAATAATTTTCATATATGGTCTGTTCCAGAACTGCAAGAATGTAAAAGTTTTTACTATGATAACCGAATTTCCCCTAATGATATCGAAAAAAATTGCATAACTAGAAGATTCTTGCAGGTACTGGAACAGAGCAATAATTGAATAGGAACACACACAAGCACAAATTAGTCTGACATTTTAAGGCAAATGATAATTAAGATCGATTGGTTTCTTGATTTCATTGCACTACGAGTAGTCCCAAATTTAATTGAACAGTGTACATTCATAATTTTGTGTTTTAAAGTTACCAATATTGGTCGGTAACTCAAACTTTGCAATCCTTTTTTTTGTGTATATGCAATTTTCAACTACTAATACCTATGAAGATTTCGGAGCAATAGATTTCGGTGTCCAATCTGTTCCATAGGCGTGTCAGAGGGTTCTTCGACCAGGCTACAGATTTAGATTCGTATCATTTAAGGCGTTGTTATTCCATAGATTTTTCGCAGTTGTTTCACTTTGTCGCATCGAATTTTATCTAGATACTTTTATGTAACAGGTAGCATGGATTACGAGTCATTTGACAGGAAATCATTGTGTTCAGACACATTGAACAATATACTCTGCTCCACCCTAATGTACCTGTGTAAGTGCAGATATGCACATGTGCATCCTGTACGATATTGATCACATGCAATTCTTTTCATAAAGTATTCGCAGCAGCCCAATACCAGGAACAAGTATTTAAATGTCTTTCATATGGTTTACTTTTCCCTGATCGCTTTTACCTACGACGGCGAAACAATGAAGACCGCTTAACAGAACAATTCCAACCCTAATCCAAATGAGGCTCTAAGAGTAACCTTTATTGCATTTCGGACATCTGTTTGGGTGGGTAAGAGCTGTCTGGCCGAGCCTGGCGATGTATGTATGTATGTATGTATGTGTGGATGAGTGTGTGAGAGAATGTGCAGCACAACTTGTGTCTACTGCTGCGTCTTGGAAGAAAAATTTGTGGGAGGTAGAAAACACATCTACATACTTCATTGTCGTTGAAACAAAACAAGTCCATACGTGGTATTGGTTTTTCCTTAGTTTACTTTTTCATAGTTTTTGCTGTTATTCCAGTATTGAGACCTCAAACGCAGATAGTACAGATAAGACAAGACAGAGCCAAAAAATGGCAACCCTGTGAAAATACCTCTGTTGTAATGATATCACCGCTGAAGCAATCTGCAAATTTTTGGAAAGGTCTACGGAATAGAATTTGATACCACATTTTTGGATTTTCAAACTTTTATTCGTTTCTATAGTTATGGTTTTTATATTAACGTGCCTCTGTCATGAGCTGTTACTCTGAGTACTGGAGACACAAACCATTTGCTCAAAATGCATTTTGTCCAGTCTTTACCATTTTTTTGGTCTTTCAGATAGTGAGATGGTTCAGATGGTGGTACTGTGCTCATTATAGGAGTTTTCTTTCGAGATTTGTATAAAATTTATTAAAATACACTAATATCTCCTCACTTTTTATACCCTCCACCATACTATGGAGGGTATATTAATTTTGTCATTCCGTTTGTAACTCCTCGAAATATTCATGTCAGACCCAACAAAGTATATATATTCTTGATCAGCGTAAAATTCTAAGACGATTTAGCCATGTCCGTCTGTCTGTCTGTGTGTCTGTCTGTCTGTCTGTCTGTCCGTCTGTCTGTCTGTCTGTCTGTCTGTCTGTTGTAATCACGCTATCTTTCGAACAAATTGAGATAGAAGGCTAAAATTTTGTACACATGTATTTTTTCCCAGTAGGCAGGTTAAGTTCGTAAATGGGCCATGTAGGTCCAAGTTATCATGTAGCCCCCATATAACGGTACCTCCCGATATTCGGTATTTTGATGATTTTAGCGACATTATTCACCGGAATTATTTCAAATTTGGCATTTGAAGTTTGTAATGGATGCTACAGCCTAAGACAGAAAATTATCTGTGCAGGTCCACGTCTTCCTGTAGCCCCCATATAACGGTACCCCCCGATATTCGGTTTTTTGATGATTTTAGCGACATTGTTTACCGAAATCGTTTCAAATTTGGTATTTGAAGTTCGTAATGGATACTACATCCTAAATCAAAAAATGAGCCATGTAGGTCCACGTCTTCATATAGCCCCCATATAACGGTACCCCCGATATTCGGTTTTTTGATGATTTTAGCGACATTGTTTACCGAAATCGTTTCAAATTTGGTATTTGAAGTTCGTAATGGATACTTCATCCAAAGTCAAAGAATGAGCCATGTAGGTCCACGTCTTCATATAGCCCCCATATAACGGTACCCCCCGATATTCGGTATTTTAATGATTTTAGCGACATTATTTACAGGGATTGTTTCAGATTTCGTATGTGAAGTTCGTAATGGATACTTCAGCCCATGCCAGAAAATTGTCTGTGCAGGTCCACGTCTTCGTATAGCCCCCATATAACGGTACCCCCCATATTCGGTATTTTGACGATTTTAGCTACATTATAAACAGATTTTTCTTCAAGTTTCGCATTAAAATGTTGTAATAATTTATGACAAAAGTTGCCTATGCAGGCTCACGTCGTCGTATAAGCATTCGGTATTTTTAAGATTTTAACAGAATTTTTAACGGGTTTTAATTTTGGAAATTGCCAAATTTGTACCAAATGGTGGAGGGTATTAAAAGTTCGGCCCGGCCGAACTTACAGCTTTTTTACTTGTTTTGTCTGACATCTATAGTCGTCCTCGTTATTATTCTCAGCATTTGGGAAAAGATATAAAATTCCCGATTTCGGTAAATTTGAGAAACTAATTCGTTTTTAAAAGTAAATCAATGAACAATGTGTGCGGAATTTCTCCCGATATCTTCTACTGTACGTAAGTGTGTGTGTGTGTGTTTGTATTTTTTTGATTGGAACATCTGCTCTTTATTTATGGGAAGATATGCTGTTTATTCTCTCACTCACACACACACACACGCAGGCCTTCTACTCCTTGTCTAAGATCAGGGTTGGACAGAAGCATCAGGCAAACATGTTCATCATAGATAGGGTGTTTGAGTGTTCTGACGATGAAGCGCCGATCGAACGCTTCAAGCAAGGATAAAAAAAACTGATGAGAACACTTACGTGACGGTCAATCAGTGTCGAACTGTCGGTGGGGTGACACACTCACATCTGTAGGAGAGGTTTTCTTTTGAGCGTATTTTTTCTTTTTTGTAAAGTGTTTTTTTTTTTCTCTCAACATCCCTGTGATATTTTTGCATCAAAGATGTTCGAAAAGTTCATATTCGATTTGAAATTCAATTTATTGCCAAATTTAAATCGGCGCCTGCTGTACAAATACAAGACTTGTTCACAAAATGAGGGCGACTGTGTCGATGGAATGTTTCCGAGAGTGTATAGCCAAAGCAAATTCACCAATATCGAATTGACTCTGTTCACCAACGATGCATCCTTTTGCGATGCGGAGTTCCTGTACAACATTGTTGACAAATTCCTAAGGGTGACCGATCCCAATGTAGAGGAATCCAAGAGATATAGTGTAAGAGATTTAGGGAATGCAAATGAATGGATATAGAACTCATAATACGCAGCTAACACACCTAATTAATTCTATTTGTTCTCCTCCCGCAGAGACGCAATGATCGGGAAGAAATACGGCGCCGTTTGGCCATGGGAGCTGAGGAAAACTGCAATGAGCACCAGGAGAGATCACCATGGAAATCGGGCACCCAATCACGCTTACAGAGCGGTATGAATGAGAGATGCATCTCTGTTGGGGACCAAATTAATTTAATGTGTTTCTCTTACAGATTTTTCTCGCATTACCGGCATGTCATCGGACACAGAAAGCCATAGTTCAGATTCGGAGACTTGTCCCAAGCTATCGAAGTCTAAAACACAGTACAGCATTCACAATTTTGGCGGTACACCGGTAGCGGTTGCCTCTGTGACCAGTAAAGTGACAGATAACACTCAATTACATCCATATCACGGCCGACCACTGTCGATCAGCTGTTCCAACAACACCATCAACAACAATGCTGGAGGCAAGCAAACACCAACACAAAAGGAACATGACATGTCGGCCATATACAGCAACGAGGATCTGGAGTGTGATTTCTTTACCAAACAGGCCAAATTACAAATTGAAGCGCGAATGGCCCTGGCACAGGCCAAAGAAATGGCCCATATGCAAATGGAGGTAAGTTGAGTGGGTATTCATGTGGGGTATCTCTTGGGAATACAAGTTGATTAAACAACAGATAAACTATGGATAAAACTTGTAATCAAATTATGAATTAACGGCACGGAAACACCAGGAACCTTAAAACCAATCCACAGACATTTTAGCTTTAAGTTCACTGAAAGAAAGTTGAGAATCTATAAAATACAGTTTTACGAACATAATGTTACCGAGGGTGTCATACGGGGACAACCACTTCGGAAGCACTTTCGTACTGCATTCCATTATATATTAGATTTCCGCGAAGTCCGATACAAGGATGGTGAAGACCATCCCGTTTTAGACGAAACACATCTATTAATTTATAATTGAGACATTTCCATGCTATTTCATTAGTGAACAGTGTTTAAAGCGTATTTTCAAAATCCATACTTCAAATCAGGTTATATAGGAGTCGAAATAATATAAAATATTACCCAAAACCAATTTAATAAAGGAGCGAAGTCAGCGCTTATCAATATATCACATTATCAAAATATGCCATACATGCTACAATACTCGTTCGACCAAATTTGTTCAGTAATAAGTTATTAGAACGAGAGCATCATCACCCGCCAAATTCCCAAAAAGCTGATCTACTTCGGCTACTGAAAAGGATTTCAAGTAAAGTGTATAAACCAAAAATAAAAGTTGTCAATTCTTATACTTCAAAGATCAATCCTATGTCTTGAACACTCATGACAGTATAGCGGAAAGAAAAAATAGTTTTTAGGGGGAAGAAGGCTGAAGAAAATGTGGCATTTACCTCATAAAACGTCCATTTTTCCCATAGAACTTGCTTTTCTTCTTTGTTGTCTGTTTGCGGATATACTTAATTACACATCTTCTATATCTATAAAAGAGGAAAATGTTTGTATGTTTGTTTGTTTGTAATTTATGGACTCGAAAACCGCTGAATAGATTTTCCTGAAAATTTCCATATATACTGCAACATCGCCTGAAAGTAACATAGGCTATATACATTTTTGAATTTCCACTTGGAACTGGAGATATCGCATCAGAATCGGAGGTACCTCCCAAAAATTTAGATTTTATATGCACATATCTATTGATTGGTTGAAGATACAGTCTCCAAATTTGGAATACGTAACGGAATTTGGAACAAAAATAAGTTTGCCAAATTATATTGTAATCGGTTCAGATTTGGATATAGCTCCCATATATATTTTCGACCGATTTCGTTCATTTGATGCCTCAAACACAATATGAATGTTCGATTCCAATGAAATTTGGAATGTGTGACGGGATTTAATCCGAAAATAAATCTGTCAAATTATATTGAAATCGGTTCAGATTTGGATATAGCTCCCATATACATTTTCGGCCGATTTCATGTATTTGGTGGACCAAACACGATATGTATTTCCAATTGTAATGAAATTTAAAATAAGTAACGGAATTGGGAGCCAAAATGAATTTGTCAAATTAAATTGAAATCGGTCCAGATTTGGATATAAATCCCATATATATATTTTCGACCGATTTCATGTATTTGATGCACCAAACACGCTATGTATCTCTAATTTCAATGAAATTTGGAATGTGTAGCGGAAATTAAAACAAATATACATTTGTCAAATTATATTAAAATCGGTTCAGATTTGGATATAGCTCCCATATATATTTTCCGCCGATTTCACATATTTCATGCACAAAACACGATACGTATTTCCGATTCCAATGAAATTCGGCATGAGTGGCTAAATTTGGTACAAAAATAAATTTGACAAATTATAATCAAATACGCTCAGATTTGATTATAGCTCCCATATATATACTCAGCCAATTTCACATATTTGATGCACCCAAAGCGAGAGAGACAAAATCTGGCACGAGAAAAAATTGCCAAACTATATTGAAATCAGTTGAGGTTTGGATATAGCTAACATATCTATTTCGGCCGATTTCATATATGTTATGCACCAAACATGATATATATGACCGATACCAATGAAATTCAGAATGTGGCGGAATTTGGTTACAATAATAAATATGACAAATTAATTGGAAATTAGTTAAGATTTGGATATAGCTCCCATGTATATATTATCGGCCGATTTATTATATTTAAAGCGGATCAGATTGGGATATGATTATAATAAGAACCATTGACCCACAACGCCTTAGGCTAACACTAAAAAACAACACAACAATTGATTTGAAATACGCTTATTACGGCGAAGTATGATGCTATCTCGAATTCACTAATTGCAATAGAAATGCCACTCAACTTCAAAAGATTGCAGTTTACTGCACGCTTGGTATTTGCTATGAAATAAATAAATCCGAAGGACAAACCCTTCGTTTTGGTTATTTACGCATTAAAGTAGTGCAATATTTTTTTTTTAATTTTTAAATTTGTTTTTTTTTTTTAACCAACATATGTTCGTAAATAAAATTTTGAATGCATATTAAAAAAAGAATAGGGGTAGCGAAGCGCACCGGGTTCAGCTAGTTATTTTATAAAAGGAAATATCCTAAAATGTGAAATGGTCCCACGACTTTTCTCTCCATATTTATAAGTTCCCTGCAATGGGTGTAAATCATAACTAATAATAAAATACAAAATGAATCACCGATTTTCGTGAAAAAGTTAGTTGTGGTGCCTCCCATATTGTAATATTTGTATCAATATTTCTTCAGATAGAAGCTATGGACCTATTTTTCTCGTATAATGCAACCGGCGTCTATTGATCTATTCTCCTTTCAAACGTGTGTTTTATTAGTTGCCATGGCATGGAACAGAAGGTTGCCAATACCAGCAGTTGACAAAGTGGATGGTGATAAAATAGACTCTTAGTGGCCAAAGAATAACTACTTATTTTGGCAGATATGTAAATATAATTGGCAGTAGGTTGATTTCTAAGTGAAGGGTGTCCCAGCTAGAACGACAATTTTAAATTTTAACATATATTTAACAAGTAGAAAAGCAGCGGATCAAATTTTGAATATCCTCTACCATTTCCAAAAATTTTGGAAATTTTCAAAAAGAAAATTCTGTTAAAAATCATAAAAATACCGTATATAGGGAGGTACAGTTATATGGGGGCTATACGAAGACCTGGACCTGTATAGACAATTTTCTGTCACAGATTGAAGTACTCATAACGAACTAGAAATAGGAAATTTGAAACAGTTCCGGTGAATAATGTCGGAACAAGCATCAAAATACAAAATATGGGGAGATATTGTTGGACAATTCCAAAAGTCCTGCAGACCAAACAGATATCTGAGTAGAATTTTATCAACCTCTTCAATTTGTTCGAAATCTTTAGTTATTTCCACAGACGGACGGACACCGTTAAATCGACATTATGCTAATCAAGAATATATACACATTGTGGGGTATAAAATGTATATTTCGAGGTGTTAAAAACGGAATGACAAACTTAATATACAGAATGTAAAGAAGACAGAATGAGGTTAGGTATGGAACAAGATATCGTGCAGATGTCCGGCGCTGATTTGCAGGCACGCGCTCGAATTTTTTCAAAGACTGTTTCGCACAAATGCCGCGTCATTTCTTAAATACAGCGTCCAATTCCATAATATATGCCTTGATTCATCGTCGTCTAATTCGCATAAGCCAGCAACTTAAAAAAACCCTAAAAAATCTAAATGTATTAAATTGCACGATCTGGGCAATTCTGGTCTTCAAAACGTGAAATAAGACGACCGGGAAATGACATGTGGCGTTTTTTTGAAACCATAAGCCCTCCACATTAATTTCTTAAATTCTAGGCAAGAGAGAACGATACCGAACACAACGAACTCGTTGAGGATGAAATTGCTTCTCGTGAACCACTCGAGGATTTTCCTTGCCCCAAAGACTACAATTCTCCCAAGTGGCGAAGCCGTCAAGATGGAAATGGCCCTTGTCATTGAAGGCAAAATTAGCAAAATTAGCATTTTCATGTTGTCTCTTCAATGCTCAATTATCGAACTCCCTTCGCCGCCCATGGTCAGATGGCCTCAGTGCCTTAGTCAGTTGAGCTTTGTAAGCATGGAGATGTAAATTTTTCATCTAAATTCGCTGTATAGTGAATTCGGAGCACCAATTTGTTGGGCCCGGGGCCGAATTAGTGGTGGATGGAGTTTGAGCGACATCGTTACATACATCTGCGTCGATCGAACTTGTCGAAGGCTCATTGTTGCCTTTACATCACTTACAGACCGAGTTTCGACAAATTTATCCATTAATCTCTTAACAGTTTACCCTTTTGGAACATTATTGTAATTCCACATTGATCTCAACTATGGAAGTGGGTTGTTCATTCGTGTGTCTATTTTTACTAACCTCGCACCTTCTACTAGCAAACAAAAACAATTGCTCAAATGTCAAACAACGACACTTCGAATGGCGCCAAATTAAAAAAAATGTATTCCAATTGGGACACCCTTTAGTTTTGATTGCAAAAAATTAATTCAACATCCATTATTTGGTAATGGGTTAGTTATCCTTAACCAAATGCGAATGCGAGAAAAAATGCAAGTCCAAAGCGTAATCCAGTTCAAAAGTTCAAATAATAAGGGATAGATTAAAGGGTATCAGTTTAGGGAAAATCGTAACGTTTGGTTAATTCGGACATTAAACCATTTTCGCATAAATATTAAAATTTTAGAAACCCTTATTAATTGTTTGCAAGACTATTGCGTGTATGACACAAAATTCAAATTTCTTCACTTAAGCCCTGTTGATATGGACAGACTGGAAGTGGAATAAATTTGAATATTTCGAAAGATCGGAAATTGAAGAATACGTTCGATATGGACCAGAAGAATTCGTGATTTTAAGAATAGCCTATGCTTGAACTTTTCGTTTACGAGTTAAAAATATTATTTCGAATTACATTAACGATTTTACCAACATAATTTTCAGTTATTATATTATTGTTATTATATAACAAGATTTACTGGTGGTATTTTTCTTAAAAATTGTTATCTCCCTAATTAAACCCTTCATTCTTGTTTTTATTTTATTTAGATTGAACGTCAAAATCAATCCGTTTCACCAATAACCGCCATCATACGAGGCTCCTTGGAGAAAGTCGGTGTGCGAATGACACCGGATAAACGTCGGGTGTCACGACAAATGTTGACCGAAATGAACATAGCCCAACTGCAGATTCTGGTCAACAGTCTGCACACACACATTGAGGAACTTAACGAAACGCTTGTTAACTATCTTATGGAGCGCGACGACTTACACGACAGTCAGGACGCAATGCTAGTCGACATAGAGGAACTCACACGCTACATGTAAGTTTGGTTTAAACCAACGTTCGACATTGCAGGGCATGAAATAAGCTGTCTACTGTCTTTTCAATTTCAGCGGAGCAAAAGAACATATCGCCCAGCAGGAACGGATATCAGCACTAAATAAATTTTCAAAATAAAAACAAACGTGCACACACACACACACAGTTGTTTTAGTGGCGTAGAAAAAAAAAAGAAAAACAAGATCGATCGGTCACAAGGACGACGAAGGCGATACAAGTTAATAATAATTCTATTACGAAAATTTAATTATATATCTAAAAAAAACAAAATGAAACTCTTAGATAAAGGCAATGTTTATTAAGTTTATTAATTTAATTATACCCCAAAGGATTCTTACATAACTCTTACTTCAGCCAAGTATAAACAAACCCACATACATACATATATACACTGCATACTTACGTACACATATGCTATACATATATATATATAATTATATATAGGTACATAACATAAAAAACAAACTCTTACATATATGAACATATTTACGATAATTTAAAATTACAAAAACAAAACATAACAAAAACAGACAATTCTCAAAACGGCAACAACCACAACAAAAACAAAAAAAAGAAATTAAATGAAATGAAATATAAAAAAGAGACAAAATTATTATTACTATTATTATTAGAGTGTTCTGCAATGCATCTCTCTTTAAATAAAATTTAAACGAGTTACATTCAAAATTAACGCAAATCTAAAGGAAAATATGTGTTTTATTCAAAAGCCGGTACGGTGTGTTTTAAGGCGATATGTTAGACCCTACGCCAGACTGTGGTACAGGGTATTATGTCATTGTGTCTGAGTCGATTTATTCATGTCCGTCCGTCTGTCTAAATGTTTTTGTAAACCAACTACAGGTCGCATTTATTGTCTGATTGAAATTAAACTTTCTAAAAATCCTATAGCAATTGGTGATAAGCGGTGCAAATTTGAATATATATCTCCCATATATATCTTCGTCCGATTTCAATTTGATTGTGCGCCAAATATGAAATATTCGTCCAAATAGGATCTATTTTAGCACATCCGACTAAATTCAGCCTAGAAACATGTACTATAAATTTGGAGAAAATCGCTTCAGATATAGCTATAACTCCTACACATATGTGTTTTAACCGATTTGGTGCTTAAGTCCCTCACATGTGTAATTATCGTTGGTAACAGGTATCAGATAAAGCTCAGACACAACTGTTTCAAATTTTGTCAAGATCAGTTCCGATTTGGATATAACTCCCTTATATAAGCCGTAATATGCACTCTGTAACAACAATATTTGGGAAAATATATCAAATATAACTCGGAAATAACCTTGCTAAATTTTATCGAGATCGGTTAATATTTGGATATAACTCTCATATATATATTCGTCCGATTTGCCTTTTATTGTGCACCAAACGTGTAATATTAGCCCAAATGGAATGGAATTTGGTACTTACAACCAAATCGAGTCTAGAAACCAGTATGTCACATTTGGTTGAAATCGCTTCAGATATAGCTATAGATCCCATACATATTGTTCATCCGATTTGTTGAATTTGCCCTGCATGGCCGATATTCGGGGAAATATATCAAATACAGCTCAGAAATACCTTCGCCAAATTGTATCGAGATCGTTCCAGATTTAGATATACCTTTCATATATAATACAAGCCCGAATTGAAAAGGCGCAAGTGCCTCGACAAATTTAGTAGAAATCGATTCAGAGGAGTATATTCCTCCCATATATTAGTTCCTTTGGACTTTTAATTATTACTATAATAATAGTTGGTATGTTTTAATTCTCACAAATTCCCCACTAAAACTTTTATTTGTTATGTGAAGCTCTACTAAATGTGCAAAGTGGTGTAGCCTATTATAAAGTCGGCCCCGCCCGTCTTTAAGACTTTCTTTACTGGTTATATATAATTCTTATCGAAGTCGTATCACGCACTATAAAGCAATGTTATTTGGTTCTAGAGGTACAAAGGCCTCTGTCAAATTTCTTGAAAATCGACTCAGAGTTGGATACAGTTTGTGACTACTCTAAAGCCATTCGAAATAAGGTTCATGGTTAGGGGAGCTCAACTAAGTACGCACAGAGGTTTAAGGTATCATATAGTCGGCCCCGCCCGACTTTTAACCTTTCCTTACTGTTTTTTTTTTTATTAATTTTCGTAAGTCTATAGATTACAAAATCCTTACAAGCTAAATCGATATATACAATAGAGACTCTGTTCAAGTGCAAGGTTATTTCTCGTTTTAGAAACTAGCGACTCTTTGATAGATCAATTAAAATATAAAATTTATAAAAAGACGATCATTATTGGCTTATTTTGTGGCCTTATAATTTACTAGGTAAACCCGGTGCGCTTCGCTACCCCTTTTGATTTTTTTTTGCATTTAAAATTATATATACAAATATTTAATGGTTTAAAAAAAAAATAATAAAACAAATTCAAAAATTTTAAAAACGTAATTTTTGTAATAATTGAATGCGTAAACTAACAAATCGCTCGGTCTACCAACGCGTGAACATGCCATGAACAGCTGACCATGAGAAAAGCAGGAACATGCCAAGTTTAGCCCGCATACACGAAGGGTTTGCCATTCGGATTTATTAATTTCATAGCAATTGCCAAGCTTACAGGAAACTGCAATCTTTTGAAGTTGAGTGGCATTTCTGTTGCTATTACAGAATTCGAGGTAGCAACATACTTCCCCGTAATAATTGTATCCTCCATTAAATTATTGTGTAGTTTTTTACTGTTAACCTTATACCATTGCAAAGGCGGTATGGTACAAAATCATATCCCAATCTGAACTGATTTCAATATAATTTGACAAAATTTATTTTTGGACGAAAATTCCGTCACCGACACCTTACATATTTCATTGAAATTGGAGATACATAGCGTGTTTGAAATTGGCCTAAAATATATATATATATATATATATATATATATATATATATATATATATATATATATATATATATATATATATATATATATATATATATATATATATATATATCAAATTTCGTCTCTCAATCCGAATCTCATTGAAATCGAACATGCATATGGTGTTTGGTGCATAAAATACATGGAATCTGTCAAAATATATATATGGGAGTTATACCAAAACCTCAACCGATTTTGGTATAATGTTAAAAATTTATTTTTGTACTCCAGACTGCTGTCATTTCTAAGCCACTCCTCCGGCAGCTGTTAAAATTATTCCGGTGACAGCTCATTATATTGTTTACAAGCAAACATAAGCATTTTGGTGATAATTTTTCCTAAAAAAGTTATTCGTGATGGTATTCAAGCGTGATAGTGTGATGTCTTTTCATTTGGCTGTAAAACCACAAATCTCGTAGCCCGACGTCAAGGAAGTGGACGGAGGAAAACAGTAACATCAGCAGAAATGGTTCGAAAAGTAAAGATGCATCTGGATCGAAACCCGCGTCGTAGTGGCCGAAAAATGGCTCGTGAACTGAACATATCGCAATATTCCGGGGTAAAGTCATTGACAGAAAGAAAATAGACTCAGAAGAGCTAAAGAATTGCTTCGCTTGGACGAAAGTGGTGAACTGCCGAATTTGGTTTTCTCCAATGAGAAAACATTCGTTGTCCAGCATTTTGTAAACAAATAAAATGATCGTGTTTACTTGCCAAAGAGGTCAGAACTCATGTGCCGGCCATGGTGATGGTGTGGGCCGATATAACAGGCGATGGTCTCCGCTCGTATTAATCGACCGTGGCATAAGAACAAATGCAATCATGAATATTATCGCGAAAATACACTGGAGGGTGTATTGAAGCCTTGGGCACCCAAACATTTTGGCCGCAGACCTTGGGCATTCCAACAGGACTCAGGACCATCGCACTCATCACGCGCACCCAAGAACGGTTACAAAATGAGGTTTCTCGCTTCAATGGCCACCAAAATCTCCAGATACCAATCCGTTGGACTATTGTGTCTAGAGTATTTTGAAAAGCAAGGTTGGCACTAAAAAATACCAAAGTGTCGATCAATTGAAGCAAACGCTCCGCCGGGAATTGGCCAAAATACCGCAGAGCAATGTTATTTTAAAATTTGATGCTATTTTCGACTTTTTTTGCTTTCATTCAAAACAATTTAAAAAAAAATTAAAAATTATGGTGTTTGACTTTGTTGCAGTTTTTTTATCTCACCCTGTAAATAGGATGTGTTTCGGCACATCCAAGCGAATTCAGCCCAGAAGCAAGTATATCCAATTTGGTGAAAATCGTTTCAGATATAACTATAGCTCGCATATTCGTAATATGCACTCCTCAACAATGATTTTATGAACCAGATACCTTATAGCGCTCAGAAATACCTTTGCCAAATTTTATCGAGATCGGTTCAGATTTGGATATAGCTCCCATACATATCTTCTTCCTATTTCACGATATATAACCATCCAATAGGATGGATTTTGTTGAAGATCGGTTCAGTCACAATTGCCTCCGTCTTATTTAGCGGAAACCGATTCACAGTGGGATATACGTTTCACTCTAAACTGCTCTAAAGTCATAATGGGCATTCAAAAATGATTGTCTCGTCATAAATTCCCTATATCATCGTTAATTTATATTGCGGATAGCTCTACTTAATGACCATAGCGGTGTAGGGTGTCTTTACTGGTTCAATTTGACTTTTTATATTCAACTCAATTCAATTCAATTCAATTCTATATTCAATTCATATTGAAAAAGTGAAGCAAATCAAAATAGAGCCTACCGCGTCTTCATATTAATTGAAAGTTGGACCTTTTATTTTCGTATGGCAAAATTTCTTCCGATAAGAATTCAATCTATTTATATAACGTGGGAACCTGGGAAACTGAAAATACTAGTTAGTTTATAAATGATATCAAAGTATCTGTAGGCATCGATACACGGAAAACGGTACACTAACGTAGTTATGTAATTCTTAGATAGTTTTAGAATAATTTGCTTAAAAAATCTCATCTCAAAACTGGATATTAGAGTTCATTGTTTCGGAAATTGTGGTGGAACTAGATGGGTATGGGAACTATGTATTTTCATGTTCTGCTTTCAAAAATCTATTTTAGATATTCCTCTTTTCATAAGGGGCGGGACTTATGTCAAGAACGATTTTTAAAGAGTGCTTCACTTCCCTCAAAAGGAAATAAACACTTAAAACTTGTAATTTTTGCAAGCTTCGCATGCATGTTTCAAAATTGTTTATAAATATAATTCTCATAAAAAACGACCATGGAAAGGAGGGTAATTTCGATTGTAACACCTCTAAATATTCGCCGGAGACCCCATAAAGTTCATATATTCATGATCAGCATAAAACTCTAAATCCATTCCATTACACGATACCCGTCTGTCTGTTAAAATTAAGACACGGCCCACATTTTTTACGTAGAGCTTGGCAATTGGGCACAGTTGTATTGTATTTCGTCCATGATAATTAGTGTTAAAAATGGTCGGCCCACGTTTTAGTATTGTGGGGGCATTCGGCATTCTAATGATTTTGGCCACATTTTCCGCGTTATTGTCCCAGATTTGATATTTAAGACGTGCAGTAAATAACAATCCTCGAATTTAAGAAAGTTCCAAAAAGAAAAAAATGTGTATGAAATTTTTTCAATGGCTACGTAACTAAGCCGAATTGTCGATCAGCCAAACGCTATGCAAGAGCTACCAATGCATCTAGAAAAAAGTCACAGTTTGGTGCGATAGATCCTACTATTTCAAAGATGCTGCGAATCGTAATGTAACGGTGAATGTTGAGCGCTACCGTGGTGTGATGTCCAACTTTTTTTCCCCGAATATTGAATCCAGATATTTAGTTTGATCGGGCCAACAATTACGTAACACTTACGGATCTTCCTATCTCGCCGAGCTGAGTCGATCTAGCTATGTATGTCGGTCCGTCTGTCCATGTTAATTTGTAAACAAGCTGCAGGTCGCATTTATGGCCCGATCCTCACGAAATTGAAAATGAAGGTGGGGTTAGGGTCAGAATAGAACCCTATTGTTTTTGAAGATGATTGCAAAATATTTAGGGGTTGAAATGGACCAAAAAATGTTCTGATTTTGCAGTTGCTCTATAGGCCACAATTATGAACACATCGACGAGGAAATTTACATGGAGTTAGAGTTTTGGACTGGACAGTAGCCTACCAATTTAGGCATCGGACAATATTTAACGGGTAAAATCGCTGAAAAATATACCAATAAATGAGTGAATATTTTTTGTTCCAGTTTTTTCAATTTTTGTCATATTTTTTATCGCACGCGATTATTTCAATTTGACTTACTATTTTGAATTGAAAATCTTCCAAATTTTAACACCCCTCAACGCTACGCTTTGAGGGTATCATTGCATGTCGCAATTATCGTCCGATTGTTCTTAAGATGTACATTAATGGGTTCAATTGGACTAAAAAATCTAAATTTTTCTAATTTTGTAGTCGCTCTATAGGCCACAATTGAGAACTAATCGACACGGAATTTCGCATCGGAAGAGAGTTATGGACTGGGAAGAAGTTTGGCATTTTAGATGACTATTGGATTATATTTAACTATAAAATGGACCACAACTTTCGTGTTAAATTGCTTTGAATACAACACGACGGAGTGCGAAAATATTGGCCAAATTCTCCGAGTCAAAACCCTAAGGGTAACATCTGGCCAGGGATATTTGACATTATTTCAAAAACGAAATCTTTCAAAATGGATTTGGATATAAGGAGACTTCGAACATATTTCAGTGTTGTAGGGTATCACATGGTCGGCCCCGCACGACTAAAGCCTTTGCTTACTCCTTTTTATACTCTCCACCATCGTATGGAGGGTATATTAAGTTTGTCATTCCGTTTGTAACATCTCGAAATACACATTTTAGACCACACAAAGTATATATACTCTTGATCAGCATAAAATTCTATGTCGATTTAGCGATGTCCGTCACTCTAGCTTCCAAACGAATTGAAGTAGATTGATAAAATTTTGCTCAAATGTATGTTATGTCTGCAGGACTTTTGGTATTGAAAATGGACCATGTAGGTCCACGTCTTCGTATAGCCCCCCCTCCCGATATTCGGTATTTTGATTTTATCGACATTATAACCGATTTGACAAATGTTACTTACACAGGTTCATTTCGTCGTATAGACCCTAATATAATAGCTACATTCGGTATTTTTAAGATTTTAACAGAAGTTTTAACGGATTTTATTGTCTTTGAGAATTGCCAAATTCGTTCCAAATGGTGGAGGTTATTCAAAGTTCGGCCCGGCCGAACTTACAGCTTTTTTACTTGTTTTTAAATGTTTTCTTTACCTCATTAAAATATCAATGCCTATATAAATATTTATCCCTTTCAACTGACCTACTTGGAATTAAACTAATATAAATGTTCAATGCACCTCTTCGTTTGATATTTTTATCAATTTAAACTTTGGTTACAAGCAATATCTATCAATCAGCAGTCGAACAAGAGGATTCATTCGGACAGCGTTCTTAGTTCATTCCAAAAATAGCCGTAGTATTAATGTCCTACCTTATCACCTCTCACCAAACCGAAAAGTAAACACAAGAGAAATCAGCGAATTTTTTGTATTTCGTGTTTGTTGTTTTAGTTATTTTTAAAACGAGAATGACACACACACACACATGCATACATACTATTTACATAGATATGGACATGCGAGTGTGTTGATTTGTTTACAAACATGTTGTCTGTTATCCCACGTTGTGAATTTTAAATGAACATTCAAATGGGTCGCATTCTTTTTATACCCTTCACCATTCAATGGAGGGTATATTAACTTTGTCATTCCGTTTGTAACTCCTCGAAATATTCATAATGGACGCTATATAATTTGGATCAGCGTAAAATTATATTTTCCGGAAGTTTTTGAAAATGTTCAAGTTCTTTTCGAATGGTGGAGGGTATTAAAAGTTCGACCCGGGCGAACTAAGCTAAATTTTTACTTGTTATGTTTAGAATCATATTATAGCTTGGTAGTGGTGTAAAGGCCATGAGTTTATGTAATTTAGAAACAATATTGGAAAAAGCAAACAAAAAAATTCATGATCAATTAAAAATTTCGGACGAGATGCCTTTGTTGTGACCTATGTTATTTTAGTCAGAAAAATTTAGTATTCTGTTTGATTGTTTAGTAATAAAATATGTCCAAAGATCAGTATCATGATGCATGCATACGGCAATCACCCTCTCCGACGGTCGAATCTGGCAGACCGTATCTCATGCTTTGTTTACAAATTCGAAAATATTTTAATAGGTATTCGCGTGGATTTCCGATTTGAAAAATTAGCCACATTGGTGTAGATTCATTTGAATGCACCGCGAAATGCATGCAGAGAACAAACGCCACTGTTCTTATCGGAAGTGTTGTTGAGCAGATTACCATTGATCAGACCCAATGAGTGGCTTCATTCAATGCAGTTGCAGCTGGACGAAAACAGTCTTTGAGTGCGTCTCGATCGGTCCGAAGTGCCGTTGTATTTCAAGTCGTTTTGTAAAGTAAAATTATTGACAATGCCAATAAAAACGTACACCAGAGAGGGGGACGGTCGCTTCATTTCATATCCCTGTGTCAGGGCTTTACTCTTACTTTTCAATGTGGCTTTTTGGGTAAATATTTAGAAAAAAATAATGAAAATTATTTCAAAATCATTGATTTCCTTCGAGCAGTTATCTGGATTGTCGCTAATATGGATTGGTGTTTGGCTGCAGACAGACTACGAGAAATATGTGAAGATCAATCCTTCGTATTCGGATATTGCACCCCTGATTCTCATTATCATTGGCGCCATTATTGTCTTTGTCAGTTCCCTTGCCTGTTCCTGCATTGTGAAGATCGACTCGGCCATGCTGGTGTTCGTAAGTACATATTGATCGTAACTTGCCGTATATTGAACTGCCGGTAATCTGGTTGTCAATGCAATTTTAAACGCTTCTTCTTTTCGGGTCTATTTCATTGGGTCATCAGTATGGCGGCTTTCTGATAATGGCACTGTTTTCGTTAATCTCGCTTTCAATTTATGTCCACACCTACAAGGGCGAATTATTGGATGGGGTGTCCGATGCCATTTCGAAGGAGATTAAAACCTACAACGATGAAAGAAATACAACAGCAAGCATGGACTTGATTCAAAAGAATGTAAGTAAATTCCAAATTTAGATGTAAGAAGTATTCGCATTTAAACAGTTTTATTAAACAATTATAAATTGTATTATTGTAGTTGGGATAGAAGCTAACCGCTAACATAAAATCCGTATGTTAAATGGGAAAGAAAAGTGGGCTACATAAATTTTTAAAATTCCACTTCGAACTAGATATATAGCATCAGAATCTGAGATACCTCCAAACAAATTAGACATATATGCACATATCTATTGATCGATTACAGATGAAGTCTCCAAATTTGGAACGTGTAACGGAATTTGGAACAAGAATAAATTTGAAATCGGTTCAGATTTGGATATAGATTCCATATATATTCTTGGCCGATTTCAGCTATTGGATGCACGGAACACGTTACATTTTTCCACTTTCAATAAAATTGTAAAATTATATTGAAATCGGTACAGATTTGGATATGCTTATATACCTATCGCATGATTTCGTGTATTTGATGCACCAAACATGCTATGTATATGTCAAATTTCAATGAAGTTTGGCATGTCTGATAGAATTTGGCTAACTAGGCTAACAGTAAAAAAAAACTACACAATAACTTATTTGAGGATACGAATACTACGGGGGAGGATTTAGGTTGGTACGTATTGCTACATAGAATCCATCCAATAGCTATAAAAAGGCCGTTTAACTTGAAAAGATTGCAGTTTCGTACGGTTTGCATGTACGGTTGGCATTTGCTATGACAATTAACAAATCTTTTTATACCCTACAACACTATGTGTTGGGGGTATTATAAGTTTGATTAGGCCAAAAATTATGTAACACTTCGAAATATTGATTTCCCACATAGGAAAGTATATATGGATCTTCCTATCTTGCCGAGCTGAGTCGATCTAGCTATGTATGTCCGTCCGTCTGTCCATGTTAATTTGTAATCACTCTACAGGTCGCAATTATGGCCCAATCTTCACGAAATTTAGAATGGATGTGGGGTTATGTTCAAAATAGAACCCTATTTCTTTTGGAGATGATCGCATAATATTTAGGGGTCGAAATGGACCAAAAACTGAAAAATTTCTTGGTTTTGTAGTTGCTCTACAGGCCGCAATTATGGACCAATCGACGCAAAAATTAGCATGGGGCTAGAGCTTCGGGCTGGGTAGAAGCCAATTTTGATGGTCATCGGGTAATATTTAGTGGGTGAAAAAGACTATACATTTGTGTTAAATAAAAGTCAAATTTCCATTAAACCGCGAATATTTTTAGTCCCGGCGAAATCAAAAATAGACGAACAGGTCAATTCTGACCGTTACGTAGATGCTGATAGTAAATATATCGGATATATATAGCGAAATATATACAATGTGTATATACAAAGAAAAGGAATGTTAGATGGAATGCTTATATCTCAAGAATGGCTGGACCGATGTTGACAAATTTTGCCAATTCAGAACGCGCTCTCTTAAGTCAAAAATGATGTTAATATAGATTTTGTAGTATTTTGTGACATTTTTTAATTTTTTCATATTTTTTATCGCATGCGATTGTTTTCATTTGACTTATAATATTAAGGTATACATTTTGTAATATTTTTCCACCTTACAATACAGGTTTGGGATATTATATACAGATTGCAATTATCGTCCGATCCCCACAAAAAGGGTAGGGTTAGGCTCAGAAGGGCTAGGCTTATTGTTTTCAAAGATGTCCGCAATATATTTAGGGGTTAAAATGGACCAAGAACTAAAATGTTCCCGATTTTGCAGCCGTTATAAAGGTCACAAATAGAAACTAATGAACACGAAATCTCGCATGAAGTTAGAGTTTAGGACAACGGGTAGAATGAACCACTACTTTTGTCTGAAAAATACCAACATTACTTACAGGCGATAGCCGAAATACACAAAATGCGAACTTCTGCCTTTTTTTGCTGATTTCGTTGGCGAATATAGCCAAATATCCTAGACGAGCAAATCATATAGATGAGTCTAAGTTTAGAAATACAGTGGGACCTCTTGCTTTTGGTGATGATCGCACAATATTCAAAAACAGGGAAAATTTCCTGATCACACAATTGAGCCAATCGACACGCCTGAGAAGAAAGTTAGGGACAGGGAAGAAGTCTAGCATTATGTATGACCATTGGATTATATTTAGCCGTAAAATGGACCACAAAAACCAACAGCACGACGGAGTGCGTAAATATAGGGAAAATGTCCCTGGTCAAAATGCTAAGTGTAATATCTGGGCAGTGCTCCGTGACATAATTTCAAATGCGAAATCGTCCAAAATGGATTTGGGCATAAGGGGGCTTCTAACATATTGTAGTGTTGTAGGGTATCACATGGTCGGCCCCGCACGACTATAGCCTTTGCTTACTTGTTAAATTCTTAAATTTGTTTTATTTTAAAAGCCAGACAGTATTTGCATATAAAATATTGAATGCATAGCGACCCGGTTCATATATATAATTGAACTCTCTTATTCTGTGTGCATTTTTTATACCCTCCGCCATATATAGCATGGAGGGTATATTAAGTTCGTCAATCCGTATTCTTGATCAGCGTAAAATACTAAGACGATTAAGACTTGTCTGTCCGTCCGTGGTCATCACACTAGAGTCAAAACGAATAAAGATAGGAAGCAAACATTTTGTGCAGATCTGTCTTTTGTCTGCAGGCAGGTCATATACCCTCCGGTACCCTCCGGTACCCTCCGGTACCCTCCGGTATCCTCCGATATTCGGTATTTTGATATATTTATGCACATTTTTCAGTGGAATTATCTGAAATTCTGCAAAAGGAGTTCTTTTTTGAATACTTTATCGTATACAACAGAACCAATGATATTCGCTATTTTGATGATTTTAGCGACATTTTTTTTAATTATCTGTTACTTGTTCTAGTTTTTCAGGGATGTGACAGTTTTCTTACACAAAAGTAAAAGAGTGGTAAATTCGGAACATTTAACACCCTCCACCATGATATATACAATATCAAAATGGGTACCTATATCAAAAACATTTTTGTAAGGCAGTTAGACACGCCTAAGAAACTTCAAATACAAAACTTCAGGCAATTCCGTTGATAAATTGGGGAAGAACCATTCGAATTCCGAATGTAGAGAGATATCGTTATACCACAATGTGGGCCTATATTAACTGATTTTTGCAATGAGGTTAGGAACCCGTAAACACCTTTAAATACCAAATTCCATTGAAAAATGTGCCGAAATCGTCGAAAAGTTTTAAATATGGGGACAATTCCACACCTATATTACCTGGTTTTTAACTTGATCTAGGACCACACCCCAACGCATATTTCGTTCTCGTTGATTCATTTTGTTTTACATGACTTAAACTGACATTTTGCGAATTTTTGTTTTAATTGCAGTTACATTGTTGTGGCAATGATAGTTTCCTGGATTGGCCACAACCATCTGTGCCGAATTCCTGCTACAAACGCCATCGCCTCGAAGCGACAAGAGTTGACGCTAGCAGGCTTTATGAAGTGGTAAGTACATGCTTACACGCCCATCCTTTTCCATTTAAAAATGGCGATTTTTAATTTGCAGGGATGTTTTTACAAGTTGAGAAGTTCCATCAATGACAAATTCACAACGATTGGAGTGTCGACGTCGGTAATAGCGCTTTTTCCTTTCTTCGGTTCACTGTTGTCCTTTGGCCTCTCCATGATGCATCAAAAAGGAGGCTATGAAATAATTATTTGATAAGACTTACTTAAAAAAAAAAACAACAAAACATTTTAATAAAACAATGCCAAATGTAGTTGTTATCCTTCCTGGACGTTTATTTTTAAAAAGGCAGACATTTGTAAAGCATTTATTTTTTTTATTAATTATTAATAATGATTTCGACTGACAATATTTAAATCAATGACGCTGGCTTTAAATACGATGAGTTTCTTATTAGTGTAAAGTTCATGCCGTAACACAATGTAATAATAAAATAAATTTTAGTTCCATATTGAATTCCCCATTGACATCAGTTTGCAATGAAATGAAGTGAACGCCAAAATTAGGTTCAATTTTATTCAGCGTAATCACTTTTAGCCACTTAAACAAAATGTATCGCAAAACGTATTGATTGTACAAATACAATGAAATCTGTAACTGTTTTACAGTTAAATGTCGAGTTCTATGAAATGAAAAGAGTTTTGAACCAATATTATGCGATATGTGCGATAGCCCAATAATTGGCACAAATTGTTACAAAAATATTGTGCTATAACTCAAAAGTCTAATAAAAATGAGCGAGTGAAGAGAGCAATTGTGCCGGTTCGGCCGCTGAGGCAGAGGTGTCTAATTTTTATGGGGATTTAAAAGCAGGTAATAATCTATATATTTTAACGTTCTCAGATAATAATCGTTAAACATTGCATTATAATGTCGAATAACCAATATTTCAAATTTAATTCTGATTCGATTTAGTCAGCAATTTAAAAGTGTAAAGCACTCATTTTGCGGAACAGCAGTCTCCCTCATAGACAAATGAAAATATAGATAACGAAATGCTCCAACCGTTTATCTTCGAAAAAAATCGAATCAGCAGATGTCGTCTATATCGTTTCAGGGGTTTGAGTGGGAATATTGAAGTCACTCAATTCTAAAACGTTAAAAATAAGAAAAACTGTAGGATATTTGCCAGTTGATAGTTGTTCCATAATAAAAGAAATGTGAAAAGTACGTGATGACATCGAAAAATTCCTAAATAATCAAGTAAAATTCTTGAAAAACGATAAAATGTGTTTTCGGAGTCGAGTGGGTTGAACGCGTAAATCAGCATGTTGACTATGCAAAACATGATGAGAGCCACCTGGATAAAAATACAAAACTAACTTTTCGTTGTCTATATCTTCTTTTGTCTATGTCTCCCTGCTGGGTTTTGTATAACTTTTTTTATGTGAGAGAAAGAGAAATTATTCTCTCAGTACAAATTGCTGAGTAATTTTTACCTGTAATGTTCTATAATAAGTTTCGACACAATTTCTGTCGGTAATTTAGAATTTCAGAACAAAAAGAGTTCCATTTTTGACAATTGACAATGGTATTGGTTGGAGAATCCAGATATATCTACTCAGAATTTTTAGAAAATCTATTCCAGAATCTGCAAGAATCTACTAGTTTTGTATTTTTTTTCGATATCATATCGATATCGGTTATCGTGGTAGATATTTTTACATTTATGCAGTTCTGGAACAGAACATTTACGTCAGCGAGGAATTTTTGGAGGTGTTACATATGGAACGACAAATTGAAATTTTATTATACCCTCCACCATTAACTTTTTCATTCCGATTGTAACTCCTCGAAATATGTTTGAAATATCCTTAGAAAGTACAGGGTGAGATGAAAAAACTGCAACCAACTTTACACTGCTGCCATTTCTAAGCCACACGTCCGACAGCTGTTAAAATCATTCCAGTGACAGCTCATTATATTTTTTACAAGCGTTAAGAGCATTTTGTTGAGAATTTTCCAGAAAAGAAGTTATTCGTGATGGAATTCAAGCTTGATAGTGTGATTTCTTTATATTTGGCTGGAAAACCACAAGTGGCTATCGTTAGAGCACTCCAGCAATTGAATGTGAATAAATCTTTTGTGTCTCGTACCATCGCTCCTAACCGTGATACTGGTAGCGTAGCCCGACGTCAAGGAAGTGGACGGAAGAAAACAGCAACATCAGCAGAAATGGTTGGAAAAGTAAAGAAGCGACTTGATCGAAACCTGCGTCGCAGTGGCCGAAAAATGGCTCGTGAGCTGAACATATCGCAATATTCCATTCGGCAAATATTGAAAAATCAGCTCGGGATAAAGCCATTGAAATTCCAAAAAGTGCAAGGAGCTAAAGAGTTGCTTCGCTTGGCCGAGAGTGGTGAACTGCCGAATTTGGTTTTGTCCGATGGAAAAACATTCGTTGTCCAGAAGTTTGTAAACAGACAAAATGATCGTGTTTACTTGCCAAAGAGGTCAGCGGAAAATGTGCATCTTCGGTTGGCCACCAGAACTCAAGCGACAGTCATGGTGATCGTGTGGGCCGCCATAACAGCCGATGATCGCTTCGCCGGAAATGTGACGGTTTTATTAGCCGTTTGAAGGCCATAATTCGTGCCAAAGGTGACCAATTCGAACAAATCTAAACTTATTTTAAAATTTGATACTATTTCCGACATTTTTTGCTTTTACTCAATAAAATTAAAAAAAAAAAAAAATGAAAAATTATGGCGTTTGACTTTGTTGCAGTTTTTTTATCTCACCCTGTATATAAATTCTGGATTAGCGCAAAATTCCAAGTCGACTTAATGATGTCCGATGTCTGTTGTAATCACGCTATTTTTTGAATGGATTGAGATAGAAGGCCAGTAGCCAGGTAAATAAACCATGTTAGCCCCCATATAACGGTACCTCCAAACATTCGGTATTTTGGTGATTTTGGCGACATTTTTTGCCGGAATTGTTTTAAATTTCTTTTTTGAAGATCTTAATGGGTAGTACAAAAATATATGCAGGTCCACTTCTTCGTATGGTCCCCAAATAACGATACCTCCCGATGAAATTAGCGACATTATTCAACGGAATTGTTACATCCTATGACAAAAAATTTCGTATGCAGTTCCACGTCTTCATTATTATGTACCTTATTATGGTTTTGACTGTTTTTTTTTTAATTTTAACTTCCTTCCAAATTACCTTCATTTTTACTAGTTTTAATTTCAGATATTATGTTTGAATTTCATCAAATCTAATTTATTGTTCAGGAATCGAATTGAAATATTCGATTTGAAATGCGTAGACTTCATTTATTATTCCGAGTTTACATTTGACTATTAGAATAGTTCATCTGGAATTCAGAATTTTTGAAATATTTCTTAAATATTTGTAACTTCAATATTGTGTTTTGACAGCAAAACAAGTAAACTTCCACCATTGGGTAAAGGAAACATTTTTATGTAAAAGTATCTGAATTCAACCTTTTCAAAAAGAACTAAAAAGTGAGTGGGCCGTTATTGGGGGCCATACCAAAACGGGTACCTATATAGACAACTTCTTCAATGTCAAATTTGTGGGTAAATGTGACTAGGATTATCAAAATGCCGAATATCGGTGTGTATCGTTATATGTGCGCTATAGGAAAACATGAACATAGATAATCAATGCTCTGCCAGCGGAGCGAGAACCCATTAAAAACTACAAATACCAATTTTTAGATAAATCGGTGAAAAACTGTGGCAAAAATGATCCAAATACCGTTGTATGGGGGCTATACGAAAACGTGGACCGATATATCTCATTTTCAATACCAACCATCCTACCATTTTGTGCTCTGCGTCATATAATGTTTTCAAAGACAGACAGATGGACATCGTTAAATCGTCTTAGAATTGTATGCTGGTCATTAATATTTTATGGGCCTACGACGAATATTTCGAGATGTTACAAACGAAATGACATTAATTTTAATTTGTCTACCCTCTACTATAACATGCAGGGTATATTACGTTTGTAACTTATCGAAATAATCATTTCAGACCCAACAAAGTGTATATATCCGATATAGAAATGTCCGCCAGTCCGTCTGTTGTAGTCGAGTTCGAAGATGAGCTATACCAATCAACTTTTTCGTATAAGCCCCATTCAACGGTACCTCCTCATTTTAAGCATTTCTACGACTTTCGACACATTTTTCGGAACGAAATCTTCTTGAATTTTCACCGAATTTGACATAATTGTTTCTAGGCTCAATTTTGTCGTAATTGCCAAATTCCATCCCATCTGGGCTAATATTGCACGTTTGGTGCACAATAAATGGCAAATCGGACAAAGATATATATATGGGATCTATATCTTAATTTGGACCGACTATCTTCAATTTCAGTGGGGTTCGTCCTTGGGTCAAACAAATGACTTGTGCAAAATTTCATCTGGATCGGGCAATAAATGCGACATGTACTTTGTTTATAAAAATACATGGACAGACGGACATGCATAAATCGACTCTGAAATATGCAGATTATCTCGTTTTCTTTTTGCCTGTTACAAACAACTGCACAAAGACATAATACCCTAACCACCACATCACTAAAAATAGAAAATGGAGATTTACCGATTTTGCCTCAAAAAATGACGATATTTTCACGATCTACACAAATAGTCTAACATTTTAATTGAAAGCGGCATTTTAGTACCAAAGTCATCTAAACGAAATAAATAAAAGATACAAATCGGTTGTCAAAGATAAAATTTCTTGCAGTTCCGGAACTGAGCAATTATTTCAAGAGGAATCAACCGAAATTCTTTATTTAATTTTGTAATAAAGCAAATAATTGGTCTGTTCCAGAACTGCAAGAATTTAAAAGTTTTTTCTATGATAACCGATTTCGCCTTTATGATATTGAAGAAAATTGCAAAACTAGTAGATTCTTGCAAGTTCTGAAACAGAGCTAACATGTTGTAATTTAACTCGTTGTTGCTAAATAGTTAGGCTTAATCCCATGATTGATGTTTTAATAAAAAACAAGTAAAAAAGCTGTAAGTTCAGCCGGGCCGAACTTTTAATACCCTCCACCATTTCCAAAAAAAAAAAAAAAAAAATAAATAAATAAAATCCGTTAAAAATTCTGTTAAAATCTTAAAAATACCGAATGCCTATAGGACGACGTGGACCTGCATAGCCAACTTTTGTCATAAGTTATTACAATATTTTAATGCGAAACTTGAAGAAAAATCTGATTATAATGTAGTTAAAATCATCAAAACACCGAATAAAGGGGGTACCGTTATATGGGGGATATACGAAGACGTGGACCTGCACAGACAATTTTCTGGCATGGGCTGAAGTATCCATTACGAACTTCACATGCGAAATTTGAAACAATCCCGTTAAATAATGTCGCTAAAATCATCAAAATACCGAATATCGGGGGGTACGGTATATGGGGGCTATATGATAACTTAGAGCTACATGGCCCATTTACGAACTTAACCTGCCTACTGGCAAAATATACATGTGTGCAAAATTTTAGCCTTCTATCTCAATTCGTTCGAAAGATAGCATGATTACAACAGACAGACGGACAGACGGACATGGCTAAATCGTCTTAGAATTTTAAGCTGATCAAGAATATATATACTTTGTTGGTTCTGACATGAGTATTTCGAGGAGTTACAAACGGAATGACAAAATAATATACCCTTCATAGTATGGTGCAGGGTATAAAAACGTTTATTTTTTAGTGGAGAAAGATGGTAAGGCAGAGAATATCATGGTTTCGGAAAGAGCCATCAATCCTCGTCAAAGAATTAAATTTAACTAAACTTATATATATCGACCTATTGAATATCCATGAAGCGCTAAAACCGCAAAATGACCATCCGATCCCTTTCAAACTTGGCACATCTCAATATTATTTTGATTATCAAAACAATCATAAAATGCGAAATAAGCATCGAATACTTTTCAAATTTCACACATCGAAACAATTCTAATAAGACAAAATCTGGTGTGAAGATGGATTATATTTATTTGTCGGTAACTCAAAAAATGGGTTAGAGAATCCCAATACTGGTTCAACAATCATTCCTATAGAATTGTAATTAAGTATTCGATTTTCTTTAAATTGTGCACATCCGAATATTTTTGTCAGTATTTGGTGGATTGAATTACTTCGCTCTCTGCATCTGCCACCTCACGCTCATTGTAACATTTTCTGAAAATTACCACACATCTCAGGAAATAACCAATATAGTCCAAATGTGGCACGACGCAATATTTATATCATATTTTTTTAGGACCAATACGAAATGGACAATATTGCCCCATGGCCCATTGCGATTTTCAAAAATGGACATGCGATCTTTTTTTTTTTAAATTTTTGTTGGCAGCCCTGTTTGAGAGGCATACATGTAATTTACGATAAACTCGTAGTGAGCTTACATAAAAAATCTTTACCCGTGAAAACCGTTTTATACGACCAATCACAATAAATTCAACGTATATTTTCAACATTTATTGTGATTGGTCAATTATAAAGTAATTCCGGATAAAGATTTGCACATAAACGTACTCCAAGTTTGTCTTACTCGTGTTTGACTATATGTATATACTAAATACGTGTTTCATTTTAACTTTTGTATTTTTTTTATTAAAAGTTTTGAATCGATATTGGATGAGCTCCTATCTTAAAAGCAAATGAAACCTGATTTTAACTTATTTTAAGAGAGAGAGAGGGATAGGTGGAGTGAGATATAACATGAAGCAATGGGTGTAAAAATGGACATATGTATGAGTTTAACAATCAATCAATTATTTTGTAAAGGAAATATGAAAATGCTTTTTAAAATTATTAAAACGAAATACATCAAGGATCTATATTAATATGCGACTTAGAAATCATGAGAGGTATATATGCATGTACGAGTATGTGGTTTTCACTATTTACAAAAGCGTTGCGCGGTAGAGACATTCACATTGTCGGCACGCGTCGCGCTGCATTTGGGCTCAACAGTGACGCATTGCCGTCAATGGCGTTGAGGCGATTCATCGATATATTGTTGTGGGTATATGTGGACATGGTTCCGGTCGGGCCATTCCTTACAGAATCTGCTGTTCTCAGACCTATAAGAAATAAACCATATATAAACTATAACATCGATCAGTGTAAATTGGTTGCCATCCACTCACCGATTCTCTCCAACACCGAGTGCCATACACGCTTCTTGAACACGAATATAAAGAATACCGAGACTCCCAGCAGGACATTGAATGAATCACTTATAGCCCAAAAAAATATCTTTTTGTGATCATAGAAGAGTATGCTGAGCAACTCCAGGAACCATGTTATGCCCATGACGACAAACAGTTTTGTGTTCATCGCAAACCGGGCCTTGTCCACAAAGAAACGTCGGCGCATTATTGGCTTTTCCACATTTGAACTTTGCATTCGGAAAATTTCGCGCTTGACACGATTGCAATAGCGAAGGGTAAGAATGAAAAGGATCAGATTTATCAGGAAAAGTATACCAACGGGACCAGAGAAAAATAATAAATTCGCAGAACCAGCTGAATCGTCTGATGGAAAATAGAAACACACAATTTAAAATAAATACGATGGGCATATTTACGTTACTTACATGTGAACCAACATCGACCGTGTCCGAAATTCGGTCGAAAATTTTCGCTTAGAACCTCAGTTTTGGTTAGAGTCACTGTCACGACCGTAATCACCGTTGGCAAGCCCCATCCATAGAGGGAGTATAGTAGGAAGCGTTTGTTTTGGTTGCTCTTGAAGTTGTGCTTCTTCTTTGCTGACCTTAAATTAAAAAATGTTTTCTTAGTAGAGCTGTAAAAAATAATTTTGAATGAGTTACGGACTATATTGATGATGATTGATATTGAGAATGGGATATATCGGTTCACGTTTTGGTATAGCCGCCATATAACGGTACCTCCCGACATTCGGTATTTTTATGTTTTTGGCCACATTTTTTAATGGATTTGTCTATAAATTGGTATTAGTAGTTTATAATGGGTTTTAGCTTCGGTAGCAGAACATTAAATATTTAGGTCCACATTTTCCTATAGCGTACATATGACGATACCCACCGATATTCCATATTTTGATAATCCTAGTCACACTGTTTCAAATTTGGTATTTAAAAAGATTTGGTAGATGACAATTCTTAAAGTATACAATGCATATAAAGGTTCCCGTTTGGTATGTCCCTCATATAACGGCCTCACCCTCTTTATGTTTTTTATACCCTCCTTCTATGTCGATTTAGCGATGTCCATCCGTCTATCCGTCTCTCGGTCTGTGGAAATCACTCTAGCTTTCGAACGAATTGAAATAGATTGATAACATTTTACTCAAATGTATATTATGTCTGCAGGACTTTTGGTATTGAAAATGGGGTCATGTAGTTCCACGTTTTGGTATAGTCCCCATACATGTACAGGTACCGTTACCTCCCGATATTCGGTATTTTGATGATTTTTGCGACAATATTCATCTGAATTGTTTCAAATTTGGTATTTGAAGTTCGTCTGTGCAGGTCCACGTCTTCGTATAGCCCCCATATAATGGTACCTCTGGATATTCGGTTCTTTGTTGATTTTAGCGATGTTATTCACAGGAATTGTTTAAAATTTGGTATTTGAAGTTCATAATGGATACTACTGCCTATGACAGAAAATTGTCTGTGCAGGTACACGTCTTCGTATAGCCCCCATTCAACGGTACCCCCCGATATTCGCTATTTTGATGATTTTAGCTACATTATTCACCGACTTTTTTGTAAGTTTCGCATTTGAATATTGTAATGGCTTATGACAAAAGTTATTAACGCAGGACCATCTCGTTGTATAGACCCTAATGTAACAGCTAAATTCGGCATATTTAAGATTTTAACAGAATTTTTAACGGATTTAATTGGTTTTGAGAATTGCCAAATTCGTTGCAAATGGTGGAGGTGGAGAAACTTACAGGTTTTTTACTTCTTTTTTTTGACAAGTTTAACAGCATTATCCAAACGGTCTTACTGGCATTTGTAGTTTAATGCGGAACACATTTAAATCCAACGATGATTTACAACGACTTGTTTTTATACATTACAACACTAGGGGGGGGGGGGTATTACCTGTGTTGTTTTATGTGAGCACCTACCTTGCGGTCTATCTCACAGTCGTCTAAGCACTGGGTGAATACAATGCGTCTACCAAGGCCCCCACACAAGTGAGTACCAATTCGCTCGCCCGGTTTGTAATGCAACTCCACATTCGAGCAACACACTCTCCCCGCGATTTGGGTTTAAACCACAGCCACCGCGATGCTCCCACAAGGGGGCCAATACCAACTGCCCTTGGATCTAGCTACTACCAGTTGAACTCCCTGGACTGGTCACCCACCAACAGAAAAACAGTAGAGAACACGCACTCAAGGCACGACAATTAACATGTTGTCCTCACGGACTGGACAATGGGTCCACTGGGACCGCGGCAACGGACTACACAACACAAACAATAAACAGGACTACCCTCACGGATAGGCTACACAACATACATAGAGGAACACCAACACTCGTCCCAAAGATCCAAAGACCAAAACCGGCCCAACGGCCCACCGTCCACTATATGCGAGGACCTCCTCCACTAAGTCTTGTTCTTCTACTAAATACTTCACGCGCAAAATTATTTAAACATCTAAAGATTCGATCGTCTTCAAGGACCCTATTGAAATCCCACCCGGCCCCTCCATACGTAATACCAATATTGGCTAAACATCGAATGTCATTATAGTAATGGCATTCCGTCAGTACATGCACCCAGTCCTCGGTCATCCTACACCCACATAAAACCGTCTGGACAAGACCTCTCTTATGCAAACATGCATTGAGAGAGCCGTTCCCCGTCTTTATGAAACCAGTACTTAAGCTGAAGCGAAAGTCTGAACGGGCCAGTACGAACGTTGCCTAACGAATAAATTCGTACGTCGCCCTTCCCTTGTCACTGTTCGTCCACCTTTTCCTCACCTATTAACAACACATTCACGAAGGAGTGCCTTGTACCGCCTAATATCCCCATCTACCAGATCAGAAGGGCTAAGCCAGTCCTAATCCTCAGCCAGCTGCAAACCGCGCTTCAGCTTATACAGAATAGCCCTACTTCTCACGGCGCCAAGCATCACACAGGCAAATACGCTAGCATGACGACCCGCTGACACGACAGGAGCTTTTTCTGACCCAACACAGACGCACCGGTTTTGTACCACACAAGAGCCCCATAAGTTGCGCAAGCAACAAACAGGCCACCATATATGACACGCACGGAACGCCTACTCAAGCTCCAATTAGACCGCAAAACACGCCTGACCATTCCCACCACTCTAGTTAGATTCTCATTAATATGATCAAAGAGTACCAGGAAATTATGACTATCCTTCATATGAATACCTAAATACTTAATCGTACTTGAATACCTTATGCCACGTTAACCAGCTCGAATAAACGGAGGTCGACTATGAGCAAGCCTGCCTTTTAGCATCATCAACGATGTATTGTCATTCGTAACATCAACGGCAACTCGATCACTCCACGCTTGAACTATACGCACGATCACCAAAGGTCTCCAGCTCGAGGAGAATCTCACCTTCAACCATAATAAGCAGGTCATCTGCGTAGGAACAAACCTTGATGGACGCCGAGAGCTCCCACTGCATAGGATCCATCATGAGGTACCAAATAAATGGGCCACAGATGGACAACTGAGGGCAATCACGTTGGACATACTTCCAGACCGAAGCTCTGGATCCCATAACAAGCCTTCCTATCATGAAAGTAATGAAAGAAAAGACCAATTTCCCGACAACCGATCGCTAACAACCTCGTGAGCACGCTATTCCACAAAAAGAAGTCAAATGCACCCTTAAAGTCGACAAAAATGCCGACGACATACTTGGCATTTGACCCGCTCAGGCTATTCTACACATGCATCCACGCATCCACCCTCGGTAAACCCGAATTGATGCGGCGATGTACCTTCGGAGTGGCATTCCTTAAGCCTAGACACTATAATCCTCTCCAGCACTTTTCCAAGGACTGGAAGTAAACTAGTGCCCCGATACGAGCGATGATCACTCCTTATTCTATCTGAGGCACGCGGGAAGTACCCTTGGCTCATACAGCGGCGAAACACTGACTCGATATACTCAGATATGACCTTCCAGATGGCTTTATACATCCATCAAGTCATACCGTCGATACCAGCCGACTTTTTGCTTATAATCCGGCAGATACTATCCGAATCTCCTGACCTTTCTACTAGCGGAGGCTCAGCTAGCTCTGAGTCTCCGAACTGGGAAAGAATGATCCCAAAAAAGCCCTACGCTTTCGCCCCACCCCGAGGTCAATGTCGTAGAACTGCTACGCAATGCCTGTAGGTCGCCCTGACTACTTGACCCACCATGCCGGCACACACGGTATACTTTACGACAGGGACGCGCGGTATACTTTACAATAAGGTCTTTATTGTCCTGGATAAATCTTGACCAACTGTCTTCTTTACTCCTAGACAGCTCGTCCTTGTACGTCCTAAGGAGAGCAAGGATCTCAGCTTTATGCCTTTGAAATTTCTTCCTAAGGCGACTGTCTCTCCTCCACATCAGACTTAGCTCACAGGTCCACCATTTGACTTTACTCATCCACTCGTTCAACTTGCTAACCTGGTCATCTACGGTCAGTGCCCTAAAGTCCGCTAATGGCATAGCAGCTCCCTAACACGGTACGCATAAATGTCCCAGTTCACGTCTCGTTCCTTCCAAGCCCTGAAACGCTTTGTTCCCTGCATTCGTTCCCGCGGCGTGACCACAAGCTCAATGAGGCTATGATCACTAACACCCCAGTCATCAACAACACGCCAGCAAAATTGGTAAGCAGTCGTTGCTGCCCCGTTCGCAGCCGTCACGTCAATGTCGCTAACTCCCGAGGACCCATCAAAGGTATACAGATTCGAGGGCTCATTCAAAACTCCACGCCCCTCGGCTCCTGAATCAACGCGAAGGTTACACCCATACGGAGAAGCGACTGACCAAATTCATGTATGACGCTCGTAGACCTCCGGCAGTTGTATTGATGAATCCTCATCAATGTCTCGCATTCGCCATAGCAGTCAAGGCAGCGTAGACTGGACACGCCGAGGACAACATAAGATACCCTGCTGGGAGACCCTTTAGGTCGCAATTCCTGAATCGAATGGGATTCGTGCACTCCACACCCATGTGTCCCGATCCCGCATCTTCTACACACATCCGCTCGCATACGACATTCCCTGATGCGGGTCCTGCCTGCGCACGATGAAGCGAAACCACTTCACACACGCTCCTTCAGCACTCAATTTGTCAGCCACCCTGTCAGTACATTCCAGGATCACGTTCACCTTGCAATCTGCTCCTTCAGCCTTTCATGGACCCCTGGCCAAACGGACACTCTTCTTGAAGGATTCAAGGGGACAGTTCATCCACGAAGTTCCTCTCATACAACTCCTGCATGAAATCATCGGTGGATATCTCCGCATGCACACGCTGCGCCACAATCGTCGGGCCGAGTCTGTCTTTAACCAACACCTCTTACCCGAAATCAGCCAACTTCGTATTCTCCGCAATTTTCTGCCGCTCAGTACTCAGAGTACGCCCCCATCCCTGGTCTCCTTCACTTCGTCAACCCTCACCTTTAAAGTGGGACCCACCTCCTCCACCTTGTTGACTACCTCCTTACTGGATGTCCCTTTCTTGCTCTTGACAACAACCGACCACGTCTC